CAACAATACATTCATTTACAATGGAGTGGCTGACTGGATTTATGAGGAAGAAATATTTAACAACAATGTGGTAAGTTTAGAGGCCCCTCAGTGGCCCGTAGGGTGAGTTGATCATTCCTCGGCCTTCTTTTGCGAAATCCACTTGACCTCTGTCGTCCTCTTCTGGTTTACTTTTTGGTCTGTGGATACTTGCAGCCCTCACGCTTCTTTTCAGCACTGCTTCATTTTGATTTCGTTTAGAGGTATTGCTTTTCAGGGTCTCTGGTGGTCCAGATCCGGCCGCTATCTGGCCTTCATTAGAATAGATGATCATCGGGTGCCACTAATACAGTATCCCCTCTTCGAGCATCAACAGTATCCGACGATGAACAAAATACCGTACCCGAAAACAGGTGTCAAACACCTGCCCGAAGTAACAGTTCATATTTGGGACAAGAAAACAAGAATAGTACGACAAATGGATATCACCCTTCGAGATAAGAGGTCAGTAATAATAAAAATGAATAGAATTTTTTATTAACTACTTACCACTACAGCATTTTAATCACTTGAGGGCCATCCGCTATCCAAAAGTGATTTAAGGTGTTCGCCACTGATATTCAAATTGCCTTTTCTGCGCGGCTTGCAATAAACCGGGAAATTTTCAAAAGGTTTTGAAAAAAAGTCGGGATAGTTCTTCCATTCTGGTCTAAATATTTTCAGCTTGGCAACGTATTTGTTCTCAGGCTCCTGGATATCACTGTACGGCGAGGATCTCTTCGTTGCCGTATTTGCTAATCGCTATCAAAACATTACATCAATCACGCTTTGTACTTTTGATTCCGAAAAATGCGTCTTGGTGCGCTTATATTTTTCATTTAAAAAAAAAAAACTGTTATAACCCCAATAATGATAAAGATGGAATACAGATCCAAATCTGGCGTTATCCAGATTCTTCGTTTACCCTGTGCGTTTCGGATAATGAAAGAAGTCACTTCGTTGCCATAATCGCTCGCTGTGACAGGCAGAGGCACCCGGAAGTAGCGCGAGTAATTGATAGCGAGTGCCGAAAGCAGCCATTCACCGAGAAGGCCTTCGTTTCCTCTTTCTTTTCAGGGTTGCTTAAAAGAAAACTCATGACAGATTGACTCTTTGACGCTTGCTAGCACCAAACTGTCGTTGAGACGGATCGTAGAGGG